TTGCATTATTGCTCATCCTTATTACTCCTTGTATGAAACTGAGTGTAAATAAACGGGCTTTTCTCTTTGGGCACCCTAATTTGACCAATGGTGGCTCAAGAGATGGAGGACAGGTGCCGGGATGTCACATGTCAAAGATGACAAGTTACCGAACTGAATTACAATTCCGGCTTCAAGAGCAATCAGTGGACAGATTTAGAACTTTCAGTTGACGAGGTCCATTATTTGAAAAAATGCAAGATCTCAGAAACAGTAGTGCAAAGCCGAAGGAATTACTTCCAGAGCTTTGGTCTGCTTATGACTCGCAAGAAACAAAATCAATAACACATTTATCAGAAACACCTTTGACAAAGAGATTTTCTTCGATCCAATGGCTTATGGAATTCTTGGAAGTAGTAAACAAATAAATGTGCAGCAGAAAATCAAGGAATAATCTTCAGCGGCATTGGCTTTAACCAAACCATCTATTCCATATAGGAGACCGCCTGATGCTATAGTGTGCTTAACCCACTTCTATTTCTGGTATTGGTAATTAAGTCCTTATGCTGTAAGGGACTATACATGAATAGGCGACCTCTTGTACGACTAGTTTCTTTGAAAAGAAGCCAGAATATTGCAACTGACTGAGAGGGTGATAGGCATTGGTATTATCAGGTACAGAGACCAACTATACTGATAACTGGGGCGCCATTTTGTGACTGGCCTGCACTTGAATAGAGACACAGCATTGAACGGATTACATCAGATGCGGAATGCCTTTGGGACTCTGTAGCGGAAAAGCGTCGCATGCGAAGCATATGTCAATCGCTTCTTCAAAACCATGCTTTGCCAGGAAACAGAGCTTCGCCAAATAGTGCCATGTGGAGTCCGCGTTGGTGGACAGAATATCGTTCCTGCATGGAACGCTTTGATCTGGATGTTCATATCCATCTGATTTTAAATGATCAAATACCAGTATGATTACATCCTGAAAAGAAGAAAGAAGAGAAACTTATCGCATACCTGACCATCAAATGCATTACGGCCTTTATTAAATGGTTTCCCTCTTTGTCGATTGCCTACCACTTCTTGATTACCATCGGTACTATTTATGTCTGCATTAAATTTTCTATGTGTTTTATTGCTATTACCAATTCAGCGATAAATAACTTCGAAAGACTACACTTGTTAAATTCTTCACAGTTGAGAGATCTTATGACTGTTGTTGTTTCACATGTACCATCTGCTTCCTAGTTTATTCGTCTCCCAACTGGACGATCTGATTCATACAATTTCTATATATTTGAAGTCACCTTTTCTGTATGAAATATTAACGAGAAATCTGGATAGGGACTAATGAAACATGTCTGGCCATGTCGTATTTTAAAATCTATAAATGTAAATTAATGTTGCTATTTAAAACATATTAAAGACCATATCGTAGCTGAATCCTCAGTGGATTTAACAAATATCCATATTGGTATATTAATATTTACTTGATGGATTGCAATCCATGCTTTTCAGATCCCTCACGGGTAGTGCATCATCACTCAATATGGGACCTGGAGTGGTACAGTTTGTCTGCGAGCAACTAGATTTTTATGTCAGTAATATGCATCATGCTTATAGCGGTCATTAGCGGTATGATTGTGATCTTGTGATGCATGTGATGCTTTATGCTAATAATTATAAGGTTATCAATTTGTAACATTACCATTACTAACTTTCTTTGATTCTCTCAGAATAAGCAAAAGGATTTGTTTGATTTTGATGTTTTCAATGGTTTTGTCGTGTTTTGTGAGCAGTAAGTATAAAAGGCTATGATGTTTTACCATATTATTGGAAGAAGAACTTCTTTTTTTAAGTCGCCCTGGATGTAAAGCGTAGTTTGGGTCGTGGTCTTTGTCTTTGGATTTCATTTTGTTCGAAATTGAGTAGGGCAGGGTCAGAAATGTCTTGGAGGTTTTCCATCAACAAGTTAACAATAAAATGACTCGCGTTGCTAGTCTATAGAAACGACGACGAAAAACAACTGCTGATGTATCTGAAGAATCGTAACAGTTAAACACAGACATCGTCTCTTGGCTGTCATCAACATACCAATAGCTGAATACAATAATAACTCAATCACTGAAAGATCGGGTCATGTAGTAGTTGTATAAAGAGCTTAAAAGCGCTGTAAGATCTGCCAAGTCAAGATATCTAGAGTTTACATTAGCATCAGCATTAGTTAAAGATGTTATTCAATTTTAGTTTCCAATACCTTTATTGCATACGAAGATATGTTTCCATCAGCTGTGGTCACGAGTATTATCCATGTTCAGCTGATATTTGGGGCGACCACCGAAAACGTATCCATCGTTGACGTTTGGTCAAGAGTTCTCACAGGCTTGGGGAATGGTATAAAGGGTGGTACTGCCACCTGCAAGTCGTTCAGGTGCCTGCGTTTCCGAGGTGCAGGTACACTTATTCACCTTTTCACCATGATCAAAAGTTGACGTAGTAGAGCGTCGATTTATTTTTTGAAAAGTCCAACCGGACCACTGATGTCGGACCAAAGATGGTGAGTCTGGCTGTCAGCTGACCTTCGGCGCGATACGATAAATTGAATGAATTTGATTTCCACTCGACGTTGGAATGTTGGTTTGCAGTTGACGGGTGGCGATACGTTAATTGGCTTCCACGAAGCTGACATACTGGTTTTCAGAATTCTCAGATGATCGGATTCTGCATACAAGAACCTTTCCTTCAAACTCGTATATGTATGTGCAAATGTGTATGTACAATTATCGCTTTTGGCAATATTCCAATATTATCACGGCGGGGGACTCCGGAAATGGGCTTCACACCATGTGGGAATGGCAATGCGAAGATTTATCGTGCGCCCAGATTCTCTCAAGTAACAGGGTGGAATTATTTTGTCTCACAGAATCACAGGAGGATTTGGGACAACTGATTGCCTAGTTATGAATACACAGTGCCATTTAGAAATTGGTCAAATGTAGAAGCATGTTATATTTGGGATTATGCGATTTCTCAGTAAAGTAGAGATTCGAGAGTAATCTTTGGTGGGTTGAGTCCAATCCAGGATTCAGACGCTGCAACCACTCCAAAGTCCAGGCACCCTAATCGCCATGGCGCAAAGTCAGCCATACTAACCGTCTCAGCCAATGCGGCATCCACAACAATGGAGGTCGGACAACTTCGATAATTTAACCCACGGACTTTGTGTGCCCCTCTTATAGAAAGTAGTTACTAGTTCCGGCATAGTTTACGAGAACATACAGTGATCATTGCATCTGCAATTAATATAAAACTATGCCTATAGCAGAACAAATACAATTAAAGTAGCAAACCATCATGTCTAAGTAATCAAATTTATCACAAGATTTTACCTTTTATCGACCAACTTTAATTATTGCTTGTTTATGAAAACCTGTACATAATAACGACGTTTACCAATAAGTCACGCTAGAAGACTTGTAATGATTATTTAACGCGAAACATATATCGTCGTAGTTTTGGCTGCTGATTGCATTATATATTGTTGTGATTACAAGCTTCACCATTCTTCGCTATACAATTGTAGGTATCGCATAGCTCAAACCAGATCGAAATAGTTAATCGCGATGAGCAAATTTTGATTCGCAAAGAAAAGAGAGCTGAAGCCCATGTTTTAATAATTTGAAAAGCAATGGATTGTTTTCACCTTTTCAATATATACCGCATGGAAGAGGAGGTAATCTTAACACCCCATAATAATGTCAATATGTCGCCATTTACCATTCTTATCCTCAAGAAATTCCATACGTGTCAATAACTGAACACAATACAGGATGTAACCTCCACCAACTGCAATAGCATCCCTAACCCTCGTCATCGCTGACTCTATCCGACATTAAATTTGACTTTGGGGTATTGCGCTCCATTCAGGTTGTATACTGGATGATTTACATGGCATATTCTGCGACCAACAATGTCCCCAAACACTACTCAATAGGATTGAGAGCCTGAACTCCTGGCGGTAGATTCTCTACCGCCTCTTGACTGTCACACCTCCACTGGCACGTGCACGATGTGGCTTGCATTGTCGTCCATTGAGATGGGCCTTGTCATCGAAATGTGGTACAACAACCATGTTTAGGATGTCAGTGATGTATTGTTGTCCATTCACATTTTGTCTGTCTTACAATTGGCACCAAACGGTACATGCTCCAAGATGTTCCGTTGTATAAAAATCTGGCTGCTTTGTGTTCTGTGGATAACGACGGACGCCTGATAAGTCGTCTTGCAATAGCCCTGACATAGCAGCATTCGAATACCAATAACGTACCATCTTTGAGCAGTTGTCAGTTGAGAGGCTCAATATTTGATTATCAGCGACGAAATCAATTGATTTTCCAGGTTATCGAGCTATTACACTTAACTGGAAAGCTTGATCTTTGGATATTTGCTTAATGAAATGTACATTGCATGTGGGAGAGCAGAAGGTCGCGGGTTCGATCCCCCGACCGCGTCCTACCAAAGACGTTACAATACATGTATGGTACTTGTTTTGTCCTGCCTGGCGCTCGGCATTAATGGGTACAACAAAGGACTGGTCGGCTCGGAGTCAGTATATATTGTGTCTGAGTGGGGTATTCATGCTTCACTGCGGCATGGTATCTCAGTGGGCTAACACTATAAATCCAGCTTAAGTCTGGGCTAGTACAAGCAGCCGCATATACACTTACACGCATGTACGTCGTCATATGAGCGAAATGTTCTCAAGCGCACGACGTAAAACTCAATTCACCTCACCTCTCACATTGCATGTGATCCTTGCCTTTGGTCTTAGCACGTGCCAATCGAAAAAATAATGTGTGTGCTACGCCCGAAGGTCAAAATACATCCTACACACAAACACAACTTTATATGAATATATGTGGTTATGTGTGCGTTAAACTCATTGGTGTTGCAATACAGTCTTCCTTGTTTATAGTTTTTCTAACAAACTTATGGCATTTTACGTAGATTTGATAAAGAAGAGATTTATAAAACAGTCACTTTGTACGCCTACTCACGGTATCCACTAGTTTCAGTCAAGGAAGGCGAATTTGATCCTCATCCACAGCAACATTCGAGTTTCTGGAAACAAAATTCAAACACTGTATTCCAAGATTTTGCCTCAAATCAAATGTCGCTTTTCAGTCTCCAGTGCATCGAGAATTGAAGCGGGACTTTATGGATAACAAATTCTATATTGCGGGAGTATCTGTATCGAAACGTCGCCGATTCTAAACGAATTCAATGCATTGAGCGTCACGGGTGCTACTGCCACAAATTATTATGTATAGTTGTATCCCATGGGCACATAAAACAATGACTGCCAGCTTTCCATCCACACTTACCTGTCACCATATACCACCCTTTGATATTACTGAAGCTTTCCACCCGCAATAACCTGTCACCATATACCACACTGTTATATTACTGGAGCTTTCCATCCACAATGACCTGTCACCATATACCACACTGTGATATTACTGGAGTTTTCCACACACACTGACCAGTCACCATATACCACGCTGTGATATTCCTGGAGCTTTCCACACCCACTGATAGTCACCATACACCACGCTGTGATATTCCTGGAGCTTTCCACACACACTGACCTGTCACAATATACCACACTGTCATATTACTGGAGCTTTCCACACACACTGACCTGTCACCATATACCACGCTGTGATATTCCTGGAGCTTTCCACACACACTGACCAGTCACCATATACCACGCTGTGATATTACTGGAGCTTTCCACACACACTGACCTGTCACCATATACCACGCTGTGATATTACTGGAGCTTTACACACACATTGACCTGTCACCATATACCACACTGTGATATTACTGGAGCTTTCCACACACACTGACCAGTCACCATATACCACACTGTGATATTACTGAAGCTTTCCATCCACACTGACCTGTCACCATATACCACGCTGTGATGTGCAGGAGCTTTCCATCCACGCTGACCTGTCACCATATACCACATAATGATATTACTGGAAAGCTCCATCCACGCTGACCTGTCACCATATGCACCACTGTGATGATATTGCAGGGAGCTTTCCATCCCTTACCTGTCACCATATACCCGCCTTTGATATTACTGGAAGCTTTCCACCCGCAACAACTGTCACTATATACCACACTGTGATATTACTGGAGCTTTCCATCCACAATGACCTGTCACCATATACCACACTGTGATATTACTGGAGCTTTCCACACACACTGACCAGTCACCATATACCACGCTGTTATATTACTGGAGCTTTCCATCCACAATGACCAGTCACCATATACCACACTGTGATATTACTGGAGCTTTCCACACACACTGACCTGTCACCATATACCACGCTGTATTCATGGAGCTTTTCCACGCTGACCCAGTCACCATATACCACGCTGTGATATTACTGGAGCTTTCCACACACACTGACCTGTCACCATATACCACGCTGTGATATTACTGGAGCTTTACACACACATTGACCTGTCACCATATACCACACTGTGATATTACTGGAGCTTTCCACACACACTGACCAGTCACCATATACCACACTGTGATATTACTGAAGCTTTCCATCCACACTGACCTGTCACCATATACCACACTGTGATATTACTGGAGCTTTCCATCCACACTGACCTGTCACCATATACCACCCTTTGATATATCTGCAGCTTTCCACCCACACTGACTTGTCACCATGTACGACACTTTGATATTACTGGAGCTTTACACCCACACTGACCTTTCACAATATACCACGCTGTGATATTACTGGAGCTTTAACTTTATGAGGATTTGTATAACAAAAAACCTTCTCTTGTTCCGACTCTTGGGCTCCGAATTAAGCCATTTATTGCTGCTGCCGGCATTGAGCTGGAAAATATAGCTCCTTCCCGTCTTCTTTCTTCTCCTCCTTGGCAATTAGTTAGACCAGAAGTTGACTTAACACTTACAACATTTTAAAAATCGGAAACAAGTGAATTACAATATAAACAAGAATATAATCAATTAAAAGTAAATATAATACATATAGATCCTTATTTACAGTTGGGTCCAAAGGATGGTGGCGCGGTTGTTTTTGTGCCACTGTCATTGGGACCAAAACAATATCTTCCAGACTACCTAATGACAGTTCAATTTTCACAGCAGAAGCAAACGCAATACTAACAGCTCTTAAATATATTAATAAACACCGTAAATATAAACACTATATCATCTTTTCAGATTCTCTTTCGTGTTTTCAGGCTATTAAAAATCTTTCTTGCAAACATCCACTTTTATTAGAAATTATTGAGTTGTACAATGAACCTGCTACTGGCCAATGCGACATCGTCTTTTGTTGGTTACCCAGCCACGTTGGCATTTCTGGGAACACAATGGCTGATCTTGCTGCTAAGGCAGCACTCAAACAAATCTGTGACACCACTTCTGATTCCATCCGTGATCTGATGCAGAAGAAGTGGGACACGCAAGTAGGTATCAATAAACTACATGAAATAAAACCCTACATTGGTTACACCTACTTGGGTTGTCAGTCCATATTTGAAGAGGTCATTATACGACGATGTCGCATTGGCCACACTAGATATACTCACGAATATTTACTGAAAGGCGAAGATCCTCCGTTTTGCATCCCTTGTGATGAAAGAATCACAGTCAAGCATGTCTTGCTTGACTGTGTTGAATATTCCATCACAAGGGATATTTATTTCAAAGTAAAAACTATGAAGGATCTTTTTAGTAATATAAGTTCTCATTTAATTATTGCCTTTTAAAAAAAATTAGACTTGCTAACTGATTTGTAAATAGATATATATTTTATCATTGTAGTTTAGATTAGTAACTGAGATTGTTCGTGGCTGTACCCTCAAAGGGGGTTGAAGTAGTGTAAAGTTTTTTAGCCTCCTGAGAGGGTACGTAAGTCCCAAAATGTTCCAAGTCCATTTAAACTTGCCAGGATTTTTAAACGTAGCATTTTTGTTATTTTTATTTTGGCTAACATTTCTTACAATCGCCAGCAGCTGAAGGGATGGTGTAAATCCAACTAGGGTCCATGCAGGTAGCAAAAGGTACTGTAAGTCCCCATGGGCCCTAGTATGGTGATCTACCTTCTGATGTTGGCGATCTATAGCCCAATTTTACATTGTATTGTCCCAAAATAGTTTTCTACTTTTAAAGATATATGCTAGCTAGTTTTAATTCAATCTGTGATATTCTAGTAGTTTTACTGTCCTTTATTGATAGGGTTTTATATATTATATGTATGTATTATAGATTTAGAACTAGTTTTAGTCACCATATGGCTGAAATATTGCCGCTGTGACTTTAAATCTCACTCACTCACTCACTGGAATTTTAAACCCACACTGACCTGTCACCATACACCACCCTATGATATTACTGGAGCATTCCACTCTTTGACCTTTCACCATATACCACACTGTCATATTACTGGAGCTTTCCATCCACACTGACGTGGCACCATATACCACACTGTGATATTACTGGAGCTTTTCAACCACACTAACCTGTCACCATATACCACACTGTCATATTACTGGAACTTTTCACCAACACTGACCTGTCACCATATACCACACTGTCATATTACTGGAGATTTTCACCAAAACTGAACTGTCACCATATACCACGCTGTGATATTTTGCTGGAGTTTCGTACTCACACTGACCTGTAACCATATACCATGCTGTGATATTACTGGACCTTTTCACCAACACTATCCTGTCACCATATACCAAGCTGTGATATTACTGGAGCTTTCCACACCCGCTCACCTGTCACCATATACCACCCTATGATATTACTGGAGCATTCAACTCTTTGACCTTTCACCATATACCACACTGTGATATTACTGGAGCTTTTCACCAACACTGACCTCTCACCATATACCACACTGTCATATTACTGGTGATTTCACAAAAACCGACCTGTCAACATATACCACACTGTTATATTACTGAAGCTGTCCACCCGAGCTGAACGGTCACCATATACCACGTTGTGATATTACTGGAGCTTTCCACACACACTGACCTGTCACCATATACCACGCTGTGATATTACTGGGGCTTTCCACACACGTTCACCTGTCACATTATACCACACTGTCATATTACTGGAGCTTTGAACTCACACTAACCTGTCACCATATACCTCACTGTGATATATCTGGAGCTTTCCACCCACACTGACCTGTCACCATAAACCGCACTGTGATATTACTGGAGCTTTCCACCCACATTGACCTATCACCATATACCACACTGTGATATTACTGGAGCTTTCAACCCACACTGACCTGTCACCATATACCACACTGTGATATTACGGGAGCTTTCCACCCACATTGACCTGTAACCATATACCGCGCTTTGGTACTACTGCCTCTTTCCACCCACATTAATCTTTTATCATATATCAAGCTGTTATCTTTCGGGAATGCTTCAGCATTTAATCCTACATTGTCACCAAGACATTTACTCAATGCAGATATTCAGTTGAATGTAGCGAGTTTATTGTATAGAATGACTACCTGCCAGCTGGGATCTTTCATAGTCTTTAATTTGTTCGTCTTTTTGGCCAAGCTCGATGTTTAAAGTTGTTATTTGCTGTTTCAGTCCCCGCACAATCTCTTGGTACTGGAAATGAGAACGGCGTGGTATATGTGTTTGGTATATACGTATAGGGTTTATTTGGTTCCACCCGACGAGCATCCTTTACTATCTGACCAAGCGTTTGTCATTTTGAAAAATAAAATAACAGAAAGGCACTTCAACAAAGAATATCATTTAAATGTGGTATGCCTGCAGTTGCTATGACAATTGTTATTTGAATCATGTACGAAATGTGCGGTATATCGAATCCATGTTTTTGTAATACGTTTGTACACATACATGTCCTGCAAATGCGTAAAGCTGAGTGTCAAAGGTGAAATAAATCTGGTGAGATTCACACAGCAAATGCACCCGATATTGATTTTCTGTTTTTGATTCATTTTTGTTGACTCCATATATCATTCCCTGATTCACTCTCACAGAAACCCGTGAAGATCCGGGTTACACTGTATCTCCACTAACCCATGCTTCTCGTAAGAGGCGACTAACGGGATCGTGTGGTCAGATCGATGCTCATGATGTTGATCACTGGATTGTCTGGTCCAGACTCGACTCCCGGCATATAGCTGGAGTGAGTGAGCGAGTTAAATTGTATCGTCACATCGGCCATATTGCAGCCATATTGTGACGAAAACAATTAAGTTTATACATAGCAATTAATGGTAAATTGTAAAAACTTGTCAACGAAGGACAGTCCATATAAACTCACTCACTAAGAAAGTGAAACATCAGTGTCCTGTTGCATGTTGTGTGAGAAGAGACAATATAGATTTAGACGGGATACACTCTCTTTCATTGACGTCATTTTACAGGGTGGGGTATTCTAAATATCACTTGAAACTGCTCTTCGTGTTTGTACATGTGTGTAACGACATGACAGTGTTGCGATGTAAATGTTGGCCAGTTCTATCAGTAATATGGACACAGTGTCCTCATGGCAACGTTCCTGCGAGCGGAAACACAATTCAAGGATACTTGAATGGCTGAAATGAGACAAGACATTGTCTGCATTTGTTACTATACACAATCCCAACCAAGCCTTGAATGAGATATGTTTAGTATGCGTGCAGATTGTTTATCATAACTACACAGATCCGTCTTCGATTTGAGGGAAATCATATTTTTGGAAGATTTAGTTGGTTGTGACTGGGACTAAAACCAAATACCTGTTTATTTGAACGGTCAAGCAGCTCCTCTCCCAATCCTGTTGGTGAAAAGAATCTTATAAAGTGACGGAAATGGATAGATAATGGTAGTATTTAGAAATGCAAAATAACTTGCACCTGTACCAATATGTGGCATATACTCCCTTGGTAATCCTGCTTAAAGACAAATGAAAACATCAATTAAAAACACTTGAATGTAGAAATAAGAATCAAAACCTGTTCACATATGTGATGTCCAGAAAGGTTTTATGTCATTTTCAGTAGAAACTGAATAAAATCGATCACAAGTAAATTTCTCTTCACATTCCTTTCCTTAATGATCATGACGAAATAAAATATATTTTACATCTCTCATGTTACAGTAGGATATTCCAAACTACTATTAGGCTGCTGTCGGACCCCACGGCCCCTGTCGTGTGATGCAAGGCAACAAACATTTTCTTCGTTATGAAAATTGTGCGAGAAGCGGATACAACTGAACTACAATCTCAGTGATCCCTTCACATAAGTATCACACCTGTTCCGCCTTTCAAAACCAATGAATATATTTCGTCGGATAATTGATACATTTTCTATGTACTATGAACTAAATGAATTTCTAATGGAATAACTTTAGGATCAGCAGAGTTTAAAATTCAGAAACATGACTGTTGAAAAATATGACATTTATGCTTAATCAGCTTGCAATGGTATTTCTGTATCTGAGCATGAATCAAGAATTACTTTAAGGTTAGAGTTACCCTTACCAGACGTTTGTGGATGAGGTATTGGTTGTAGGCATGTTTGACATCTTGAAAAAGATGGCCAGTCTGACAGTTTTCCTTTCTTTTTATGTGACATGTGTTCTGTGATGAAAAAGAGACATTTGACATGTGAACATGTTATTGATATTAGATAATTATAAAGAGATACATGTTTTACAATATGTGATAACATATGCACATTGTGCTTATGTAGCAGCTTTATGTCGATCAACCTACCTCCTGAAGATGTTAGAGATGTATCAGCAGATAGATAATCTTTTCCTGTTGATATCGAATAGCTGATAATTGGTTTCCTTTTCAGTGGACTGGGCTCTGCAACAATTTAACATAAAAAAATTCAAGTTTTTCAAAGCTTTGATTTTTCTAACTTATGCACATATCCTGATAACAATGTTGAAATTGCATCAGAACCAGTAACAGTTGATTTATGTCAAGCTACCAGGACGAAGCCTGACTTACTTTGAGTATACACACTTCAAAATGACAGACAGTGTTTTCGTCATGCAGCGGTAACCATCATACAAAGGAAAGACGAATATTGCCAATCAACAAGCCGTAAATATCTGGCAGAAGTAGAAAGAAAGCCTTACGACAAGAAGACAAAGTCAGCAATATCCCCCGCAAAGGAAAAATACTCTTCATGAATACGTCAACTAGTTAAGACTATGTCAAATGTATATAGTGGGAGGAGAGTGTTGAAATGTTTTCAAGTTCTGCTCCTGATAGGAGCACTACCACTATTTTCATTCGAATTCAAACTTGTTGCAATGGAAACCCAAAACATATTTTATTCAAAAATCTAAAAATACACACATCACCAGGCCTATCTATGTACCAAGTTTGGCCAAGAAATATTGAACGGTTTTAAGGTTCTGTTCTGGAACAAAGGCACTCTATGGTCGCTAGTATGGTGATCTACCTTCAGTTGTTGGCGATCTATAGCCCATTTTTTGTGTTGTAATGTCCTAAATAGTATATACTTTTAAGTCACATGCTAGTTTTAACTGTCCTTCGCAGTTATTTTACAGTCCGTCGCAGACAAAGCTTAACGTATAGCACTATACATTATTTAAATTTGTCCCTTTTATTCACGATATGGCTGAAGCATTGCCAAAGTGAACATTGCCGAGTTTTAACTCTCACATATTCTGTTCCGGAGAGGAGCACTAACACCAGACGAGGTCGAGGTCAAAAGCGTTGCCATGACAACGCAAAAAAACATCTTATTCAAACATCCAAAAGTAACAGGAGGCACCCGTTCATCGCCAGGCCTATCTATGCGCCAAGTTTGGTGAAGAAATATTTAGCGATGTTTAAGTTCTGCTCCGGAAAATAATACCCTCCGCAAAACGCATCGCGGCTAACAATCATATGTACATTTGTCTTGCAAGCAGCAATTATTTAACATGTGTTATATTTTCAAAGGGTCAGATATATAATCACTCAGAAAAAGAGGCGTTTGCAAATGATGTACCTCTTGTATCCACTTTCCTTTCATACTCACTCAGGTCTTGTAGCTTGATGTGAAGGGTTATGTCCTCAACTTCGGAGTCAAGTTGACGCAAGCAGTGTAATATCAGGTGTTCTATTTCCTGATGCCTCTTTATCATCTGTATAGCATCCTCTCTGGTTTCGTGCTCAAACACAAACACTATACTCCCACTTCGAACTTCCTTCAATTTAGCATGATGTGTTCGCCTCGTTGAATCCTTTATTTCGTACAGTGGCTCCATCACGCTCGAGGAGGGATCAACATTTAACACCTGTTTGTTCGGCTTTGTCTTACAAGTCCACTCAGTTTTGCAAGTGCTATTATAGGTTTCATCACTGTCTTCATCGTTGAACTGGATATGCATTTCTTTTGTTTTCTTTCCACCCTTTGATCTTGTAACTGAAACATATTTACATAGCGCACACAATCAATGTATAGTTTAAGTGGGTGAACTGTAACTGATATTTATCAACTACTATAAACAGTTTGGCGTTACATTGATGCGTTGTGTCTTACCTTTGGTGCGACAGTGTCGTATCTTTCCACAAACTTGAAAGCTTTTCGATTCTATTTTACCTGCAATAAAAAGTTTATTAATGGCTGCAAGCTCATATGATTCCACAGCACTGTGTGTAGATTGTCTTGAGAACTGGGGATTATTAGTATTAGAAATGCGCTAGATTCCATGCATGAAAGTAAAGGACAGTAAATTGCATAATTGACATGCATAATTTACAACACGTACATTATTTAAGGAAATATGTGAGTTCAAACATTCAAAGTATATTTAATCTTGTTCGTCTAATGCTTGGTTAAATTTGCCAATATTGCCAAGATCTGGTATGGTATAGCATATATCCAGCGAAGGTCCATGCAGGTAGCAAAAGTACTGTAAGTCCCCACAGTCTCTTGTATCTACCTACAGTTGCTGACGATCTATAGTCCGCTTTTATATTGTATTGTCTTCAATAGTAAAATAGTTTCTACATTTACATGCTAGATTTGCATTTATAACAGTGATATTCTAGTTGTTCTAACTAGACAGACTCTCTAATACATACTTATTTATTTGTTTATATATTTTCAATATATGAATTGTTTTAGCACACGATATGGCTGAAATATTTCCGATGAGAGTATAAATTTTAACTCACTCACTCACACACTACAACATGTACCTAATTTACATGAGAATTTACATGAGACTGTGAACAACAGATGCAGAATACTGTGAAGGGCATTAAAGGTAATTATAGCGATAGGAACGATGTGACGTATTCACTAGCTGACAATAATCAAGTCCGACTTCCAGTGAGAGGTCGTTTGGGAGAAAATCTCTACTAAACCTGGAAAGATCTCAGAACAAAGACTTCAGTTTACTCCTTGAGACAGTGAGGCGGTGTTTGTCAGCAGACGGTGCATCTTGATGGAAAGTGTTTGCTCTCGAGTTTCGTGGACATAATTGGTGGCGAAAATATACACAAGTGTTATTATCAAACTCCAGTGTTGTACTACTCATGATATATCTGTTCCCATGGATACGCTAGTCAGAGAACAGACTGGTGTCTTTACAGTTTCTGAAGAGTTTTCCGTCATCCATCCTTGAAGTTACCAGGGATCTCACCTATGCATGATCCTTGAAGTTACAAGGGATCCCACCTATGCATGATCCTTGAAGTTACAAGGGATCTCACCTATGCATGATCCTTGAAGTTACAAGGGATCTCACCTATGCATGATCCTTGAAGTTACCAGGGATCTCATCTATGCATGATCCTTGAAGTTACCAGGGATCTCACCTATGCATGAACTGCATTTGTAGTCAAGGACCTTCCGATCCAAACAATGTTTCGCGGATAGTAGTATTATGATCGGTTGAGAAATGGTCTTGGAAAATGGTGAACGGCCGACTGTAACGCTTGTTTTCCATGACCCCAGCTCCCCAACCCATCTGTCTGAGAGTTATTGGGCAGTTGGGTATCTTCCGTAATAACGTCTGACAGTCTGTTTTCTTTCTTTGTGTGGCGTTTAAGAAGTTAGACAGTACCATGTTTGGCGTTTGATGTGAAGGGCTTCGCTGTGTTTGCCTTAACTTTGGGAGGAACTCAACAAACTGCACCTTTCAAACCAATCTGCTGGAGCCGAAAGTGGATGATACGATCGTCATTCTCCAGCCTTATCATGATCCGAACCAGCTTCTGAACCATCTAAACAACGTACAACCCCTCAACAAATTCACCGTGGAGACTGTGCAGAACAACCAACTACCTTTCCCTGACGTCCTCGTATCCCACACCACCTCCAACCATCTCCAGACCACTGTATGCAGAAAACCCACCCAAGTACATCCACTACAACTACAACAATCCTCCCAAAGTGAAGATCGAGATAATCTCCACTCTAACCAGAAGAGCGAAGAACATCATTGAATCCGCATAAAGAAATTCAATACGTGCATATATACCTCGCCTCCACTTCAGGTTACAATCCTGCTTGACAACGGTACATGAATCTGTATCGAAACGTCGCACACACGAAACAAAGAAGATTGTCTATATAGTCTGTCTTATGTACAACGATGTCTCCTAAGTCTCTGGTACTACTGTGTGAAGCGCACAGGGCCAAAGACTGAAACGTGAGGCAAATCGATGCTGTGTTTTGAACTTAACACAATACGTCGCCATTACAACATTTAAGGCCTCAGTGAAGAACATTTCCAGATTTGATGCATCAGGGACAAAAATGATGTCCAATGCAATTCCTTATTTTGACTTGTACCGTATGTTCCCGAATTACTTCAAGTGAATAAATGACTAGACTTTGCATTTGTTTATGACGGGTGCCACTAGTTGGGACAGGATACGCTCACCTTTTCGAGAACTCTTGGTATCATCATTATTTCATAGTGGTTTATAAACACATGCTCTGTCATCGTATCGCATGCTGACAATCACTTTAGTGTCTACTCCAGTCACGTTTGTTTACAAACATCATCGCACAGGTGTAATACTGTTGAAACAAATACATACTCATCATATAGTCTGAATTGTACAACTGAGACTTTTTCATGGATAAGGAAAGGGTTTTGTCGCTTCTATTTTAGCCTCTCTGATAAGCTGTGAGATTTAATTCACGTCCTGGCACATACTTTGAATGAAGCTACACATACTTTGTTTCTGCGGGTCTGCCATCTGTGAGTTTTCCGAGCCTTCATAGAAATCACCTGTGGTGGAAAGAATTACCAAACAATAAACAGGAACTGACATGAATGAACATTTTCTGCTTAAGTGAAAAGCTGAGTGAGTGTGTTGGATTGTATGGATCAATGTAATTCTTCACCTGTCAAGTCTGACTCGCGAGGAGGGAATTATGACATATTCAGTTGATATTTGTGCCATGTTTTGTGAATATTTATATAAACCAACCACATACCCTGAACTTGAATCATCTTTCCAACTTTCTGGGTCCCACCAACAATTGATCTGTTTGCTGTACCTGTGCCATCAACTCCTTTGATAGTGACTAAAGAACGAAAATGAAATAAATTCAACCATTGTTAGATTTTAGTTTATATGACATGTTAATGTGAAGCAGCATCAGTTTACTATACAGGTAATATACAGGTCAAAGTCATGACAGGCTGCTTTGCCATCACACACAGGGGCTGCTTTCTGTTCACCTTCACTGTCTTTGTTCTCTTATAACAAGCAGTTATACCAAACCACAATACAGACCTAATACTTAACATACCGATCTAACTGTTGGAATATGCATTACTCTGACAAAGACTAGTTAAGGTCAGTATTTCAACGAGAGAAGAATACTGTATGATGACTGACTGACTGACTGAGTTTGGTTGTTCGCCACTTTTAGCAATATTCCAGCAACATCAAGGCAGGGGACACCAGAAATGGGCTTCACACATTGTACCCATGTGGGGATTCGAATCCGGGTCTTCGGCGTGACGAGCCAACGCTTTAACCACTAGGCTACCCCACCGCCCACTGTATGATGATGAATAAAGAAATATTTATTTGTGAAAGCAGAAATCATGAATGAAAACTGTCACATGATTATTATAAAACCAATTGAATGTTGACAGATAAAAAAAATATTATACAAACAACTGTTGTTTTGCAATGTCAATGCATGTGAATGAGTTGCAATCGATGGAGTTTACCATACAGATTATATACAGACCAAGACGACAATAACTCGCTTTACCATCGCCCATAGCGGCTGTTTCCTGTTCAGCACTGTTGTCAGGCTTCTGTTCTCTGTCCTGTGATCTTCCTGCAATTTCTTTTCATGAAATTAGAAAAGGGTTACGATTTAATCATACCCATCTAACTTAACGAACGCGTAATTGTTGACCAACGAATCTCGAAGGATATATTTCGAAAAATAGTTTGCTCTACCCTCATGAGTCGTGTCATAGATTATCATTTGTCCTGAACTATTATATATAACAATGAGGATGCTTGTGTTGTTTAGTTCTTAGGTTTTCTTTTCGTAAAAGCTGTTTTACCGCTAATGTAGCAGACAGAGGCAACTGGTGGTCATCAAATATCATCTCCTCTTACTTTGGGTTCGGGAACTCGTCCTCGTTGTTGGAATTTGCGTCGGCGCTGGAATTTCTATTTTTAGATGGATACTGGTCATTTCCACATCAATTTGTTTAAAAAGGTCTTCTATCATGTCTTTCACAACTTCATGGTTCTTTGCCATATTCAAGGCCTCATCCTTCTCGTCATGTCCAAACACAAATTGTACATTTCCATTTTCCATTTTCGACAGCCAAGCATTATAATAACGCTTAGATTTGTTATCAAATTGGCAAAGTGCTTTGCAGAGTTTAGTCGTCAACTCCACGAAGCAGCTTGGGGTACAGTTCCACAACGACAATTGCGTCAGTGGCAAAGCGTCGTTCACATGCACACTTATCACAGTCTCATTGCGCATGGAAAATGTCACTGCCAAAGCAAGAAACACACAGGTTAGAATGTTTGTTCTCTACGTGATCTTGACACAGATTATAACACAAACAACTACATCATATGGTGTTATTATTAGTGTAACTACATTGATTTCTAGCTATGTTTTGACATTTGAAATTTAATTTTTAAACAAAACTGTATCTATACTGTGCATCTCGTTTTGGAATTCGGAATACATATCCTGCCAGATAGTGGCCTCAATGCATAATAAAACATGCTCACATTTTGTTTCCACAGGAACTTCAGCTGCCGTCATTTGAATTTCTACTGTGGTGATTTTACCTTCAAAGATAGTTTCAATTTAAGAATGTTATTACTGATGCGGGTTATAAAAGTATTCACTGGTCATTTACGTATGTCATTGTTGTTGTTGTCCATGATATAGATCCTTAGTCCGAATGGCTGGAAGTCCAATGATAATACTCGAATGTATTAATATTAAAACCTGTGAAAACTCCATAACCAGATCAAGGGCAAATACCTACTGAACAAACATGAAATACTTCCTTACTCTATGTCCATACTATACTGACAAACAATAATAACGCTACTCAGAATTCATGAAAATGAGTTCGGATTTGATACTTTAACACGTTCAAAAAAACGTTTTGAAAACATAATTTTGTGGAGGTTTTTCTGACATTTCAAAAATGTTTTGACAAAACAGTGGCGAGAAATATTAGAAACCTTGACATTTTGAAAACGTTTTTCAATGGGGTTTACAAAACGTTTCAAAAACGTTTGGGTTGAATCCTATCTTGCGAATGTAGAGATATCAGAAACGAAGGATATCTTCTGATATCGTTGCAAGGCTAGTTTATCAACACTGAGTGTTTTGACACCCGTCCAGTAAATGAATACATGAAAGTGAATTTGTTAATGGCATCCGTTATCAAATAGTAAACATGAAAACAAAACAATGATATGTTTTAAGGAATACTTCATTTCATCAATACATATGGAAAATAATCAGTAATCTTTCTCATCAAGCTCCTCTTGTGTCCGTGTTGGCTTCTGAAAATAAACCCATATAAATTCTATAAATATTTACTGTCACTTCATTCTTGATGATGCTACATTTCTGCTAAATAATGTTTCTGTATCGTGAAACTATGTTGAAGAGTACAAATTCCCACCAGCATTTATCGAAAGCTTAAAAAACAAGTACAGATCAATCAGCCTAGACCGTAAATTATATACAATAGGAATTTATTACCAACCAAAAAATGCAATTTGTCAAATAGTGCAACTGATTTCATCTGGTTATATTGTATGATACTTTCCCAAACTACGGACGTCACTTACAAAAGAAAGTTGTTACTCGCAATAGTTTGCGGGACTGAATAATGTTCATTTCTTACAACTGACCCAAGTTATAAATGATTAGTTGCCTCTTAATGGCAGGATAAACGTTCAATTAGAAGTATTTCTTCATGACACATCTTCATTTCTTGTTTAAAAGTCGCATACTATATTTAGTTATGAGGGGGGCTGACATTTGTTATGAGATATCATAGTCTGGTTGTTAGGGAAGTGACGTTATGTTTATGTTATAAAATAACGACCTGGAGTCACCGACTCAAATGTAATATTATCCCCTGATTTCCTGTTCATGGCGATTAGCAACAGTGTCTACGTGACCAAATCTGTGTCGGCAGGTTGGATACGGGGCAGAGGAAACAGGGAAAATTCCTATATGTGAAAACATGTCCACATTTTGGTCATTTAATAAATAGTAATATTATAGTAAAGTTAGTAGTTGACGTTCATTTACAAATTGATTGATATTACCGTGGACTACATTGCATTATTTGCTAACAGAGAAAGATTCTGACATAGTTTGGATATGAATGTGCATGTATTAATTTACCACTCTGCAAACAAATAAAACAGGATTTCTCATTTTGCTTGTACTATTGATTTTGATCTTGTGAACATTGATGAAACAATAACACGCATTCTAACACAACGAGTAAATGTATACTTGTAATCGTCACAAAGATGGTATGTCACAAAGAATATATATCACACATATGTTAAGAAAACATCATAGGAATACGTATTGTTTCAAACAAAGAATGAGTGAAAATTGACTGAAATTCTTCATCAATTTGACTTACAACTTACAAAGTGACGTTTTTAGAACAATAATGTGAATATACATACCTCTTTTTAGAAAACTGTCGTCTTGACACAATGTAAAATGGACAGTCGTCTACACCGAGCAATGTGGTGGAACTTCCCGTCTGATATGTACAGAGACCGATTTTGAATGCACCGGTCCCTGCTCTGACAAGATAAAGTATCTGAGAAAATTCCTGAGAACTGACACCGATACAAGAGATAGCACGTTGTCCACGCAGAGAAGGCTGAACTTAAACGCACAGCAGTAAACGGGAGATTATATTTACAATACAATGTTGGATCTATAGTAAATAATATAGTAAAGAAATCAGTGATGGTAATGAAGCACATGACATACTATCCCACTTGACAAAATGTTCACAACAGTCTTCAAGACTTATAGTTTCCCACAAATATTTATGTACAGGTGTAATCTCATAACCATTATTTTCAAGTTAATGTACATTCCTGCAGTGAACGGAGACGTGCTTATCAGGAAAAGTTAACCTCAAAATGTTTCAATAACGATTTAATAACGTTGTGATTTGGTTGCAATCAAACTTTAGGAAAACCTTCGCCAATGTTTCAATAACGTTTCTAAAATGTTGGTGTGTAGAAGCTTGGATTTTGTTTCTTGATAACGTTTTAATAGCGTTAATCGAAACATTTTCATATCGTTTCAAAGTAACATTCAACATTATAAAAACGTTTTCATGAAACATTTCCCTGAGTAACCACTACAACGCCGTGATTTGGTCCAGGGGTCGCCGTATCAGCGAAAGGACTGTGCGTACACGAGTCCTAGCGGCAGGCCTACGTTGCCGTCGACCTTACCGTGGACCCATCCTCACCAACAGACATCGACTTGAACGGCGCCGTTGGGCGGCAAATCGAGGTCACCTTGGACAATGAAGGTGGGATGTTGTCATCTTTTCAGTCGAATCGGGATTCACTGACGGCCGACAACGAGTATACCTCCGTAAAAACGAGCGGTTTGCACAGGCCTGTGTTGTGGTTCTATGTGCAAGGAACACTGGTTGTTGTGCAAGGAACTCATGCTCAACGATACATCACTGACATCCTTCAGCCAGTTGTTCTTCAATGATCAGGCAGCAATGCGTCACGTCTTCCAGCCACTCAACCAGAATCCCGCAGGCTTTCCTCCAAACACACCATGTTCAGGTGTTATCATGGTCGTCCGTCTCCCCGGATATGAATCCGATTGAGCACAGTCTGGACGGCGTGTTCATCGACAACATCATCCACAACGTAATGTTGCTGAGTTGACACAGGCATTGCAGCACCACTGGGATTCCATTCCCCAAGCATCTGTAAGACGTCTGTGTCCTTTCATGCCAAGCAGATTGCAAGCATGCATCCGAACCAATGGAAGCCACACTCGTTATTAAGGGGTTTTGGACCCCATTGAGATGGTATGCAAGACCACATCTTTCAAAGTATGTTTAATCTCACCACATGTTTAATCATAGTATATATGTTCGTTTAAATTAATGGCTAACTTTGAGAGGATGATGTAAATCCAACTAGAGTCCATGCAGGTAGCAAAAGTACTGTAAGTTCCCGTCCCCATCTACCTTCAAGTTATTGAACTTGTTGGCAACCTATAGCCCATTTTTCAATTGTATTGTTCTATTTAATGATATCGTTTTATGATAGCGTGCTAATTTTACTTTAATACATGTGATATACATTGTACTAGTAGTTTTACTGTTCTTCGACAACAGACTTTTATTTACTAATTGTATTGATCTATTAATAAATTGTTCTTGTCACGATATAGCTGAAATATTGCCAATGTGACGATGAATATTAACTCCCCCACTCACTACAGTTGAATTTTGCAGTTGTTCCGTTTATTATCACTTACGTTATTCATCATGGCAAATATCAATTAAGTTTATCCTAAGCATTTACCTGTAAATAACAATGTAAAGTTAGTTTGGAACCACACAAAAATATTTTTTTGTCAATATTTGTAAAGTTGTGCAAAAAAAACATTTCATCGAGAAATGTGTTAATAAATAAAGTATCTTGCAGCTAGAATTATCCAGAAGATAACTTTATGTGCAATGAAATTCCAGGGGTAATTCTAAAAAAATAAATGTAATGAACTAATAACAATTTAATAGCGCGTAAATAATGATGATTATATCCACACTTTGATTGATACCAATAGCTCTGAATAGGTGTCTCTCACAAATGTAACATGAGCTTGATTAACATATTATTACAACCCCATTTAGCATTTGTTTATGGCGCAGCATGTTCTGTTACACGTAACATCCTTAATTTATCAATAATATCTTGATGTCAACATTGTAAGAAACATTTTTACATTTTTTAATTATATCATACTTAGTCTCACATGTGTTATGTACTTTTTTCAGTTGGAACAGATGCACATCTTTTAGAGGAGAAAGAAGGAGGAATAGATTTCTTTATCACCACAATTACCATCAAGAGCAAACTGAAACAGATCTTCAGATTTCTTTTAACATCTGGTGTTCAAGCAATACATTGCCAATGAAGAAACAGCAAGTCACTGAAGTGTTGTATATACAGTTATAAAACATATTAAAGCCCTACACATCATCCTTTGGACACTTGCTGGAACAGGAAATGCTTGTAATCAGCAAGGTGTTGTGGAACTTCTTGTAACATGTTGATACTCTCAGATAATTCAGTGAGAATTTAGATGAGTGACCATGAAAGAACATTTGTATTCCAGTTGATACTGTTACAGTACTTTGTTCAGGTTTAGCATCTGGGAAATGCAAAGAATGTTTTATATGTTATGAGTAATTATGTCTTTGGAATAAACTTGCAGAATAGTTCTAAAACATAGATGGATTTCTAGTAATCCCTTGGCTTACACAGCACAAAACTCTAGGGAGTGGGCGCTCCCGAATTAATGTGGTTTTCAGCCGCAACTCTTGACAAGCAAAAGGACGCAGTTTGGCAAGTAAGCCCCGCAGCCCCACGATTTATCAGGTGACCCCAGTGAATTAAAGTCGAAGACCTTAATCTGGCCAGTCCCTGCTTCGAAACTACCCCCCACAGACACACGTTGGAAGGCGGTGAAAGAGTGAATAGCCCGGTTGCTCAACTAGTTTAACGTTCAGTACCATTCTCCCTAA